CCACCAATCCATCTTTCCAGCCCCCAAGTAAAATATCTAACTTAATTTTACTACGGACAAGCATCAGACACATTTCACTATCTTCGCCAACTTGAAGTGGTGTCAAGTCTGACACTGCTGTGCAACCACCCCTAGCATGCATCTGCAGAACTTTTGCTAGACCAAAATTGATCTTCTATGCCCAAGAAATAATTTCTATGCTCTCCTACCTAGCTCTAGGCAGCAACTATAGTGGACTTCCTCCCTCTTAAAACGACTACTCAAAGTTCTCCAGGTAAGTGGAATCATACAGTGCTTGTCCTTGTTACTGGCTTATTTCACTTAACATGATGTCATTGGTACTTATGATACAGCACAAATCCTAATTTTCTGCCCACTTAAATAAAGCTGAATGATATTCTACTTAGATATATACTACATTTTGCTTATCTGTTCATTCACCAGTAGACACAAGTTGCTTCTACTTTTTTTTTTTCTTTTGCTGTTGTGACTAATGCTGCTATGGCTATGGATATCTACATATCTACATATCTGTAGACATGTCCAGAGGTAGTTTTAAGAATTCCATGGGATTACGGAGGAACCCAGGAGGTCCCACGCCTCCTGAGGAATCAATGGCTGTTAAAGATTGCAGGAGGAACAGGAGTCTATTTCTTCAGTGGTGTAACCACTGATAAGTTGTACAGGGTTCCAGTAGATAACCTTCCACCTTGGACAAGGAGCTCTAATTAGATTCAGAGAGCTGCACATAATGAAGACATGAAAATAAGAGGGAGACTTCTTGGGGACAAGAAGGGTTTCGGTTGGCAGGAGTGAGAGAGGGGGACAGAGGCAAAAACAACTAAAACTTATTATACATGTGAATGCAACTGTCAAAGATTAAAAAAGAAAAGGATGTCTATGGGATTGGAACAGGCAGCAAGAGTGGGGATACTGCCAGTGTGACTTCCTATAGATTGTTTTGAGGGGTCCTGGGAAGAGACCATATTATCTTCGTTGGCTCCTAATTATAGCATCCCTGCCAAGTTATCTCCAGCATGTACATCTGCCTCCTTCAGCAGACTCAGAGACCCAGAAGAGTGGGTGGGATTGCTCCCCTCGATATCCCTAGATCTTGTTCCAAGCCTGATGCCCATCATAATTATCGAGTTGCTGCTGAATAAAGAACTATAGTAACCCATAATTTTCCACCATCCCACTCTGCAAACAACTATTCCCTTTGCTGCCAGGATGTCATGACTCATGATGCCCTGAGCCCAGCTCTAGACCTGCAGCCTGATGCACTCTGGGCCTGAGTCAATGTGGGGGTGCAAGACCTTCATGAGGCAGAGCTGCAAGTATGAGAAAGCCAGTGGGCTCCAACAGTGGACCGAGGCCAAGGAAAGAGACAAGTTGCCTTGGTCTCTCACTCCATTCTCTTCTGGAGAGACCCTTCCCGAAGAATGGCTGCAACCCATTCCTTGCATCTAAATGAGAGGCCCAATCAATCTTCCCGCAAATATCTGCTTCTCCATCTCCAAAAGCCACTTAAAAAGAAAAGAGAGAAAAAAATGTAACTGTGTTTCAACTGAAGTGGATTTGTATGTTTTCTCTCTGTGTGTCTGGAGCTCCGCATTCCTGTGTTTTCTTTGGTTTTAATTTTAACCTGAGTTCGATTTTTTTTTTCAAAATGGAAACCTATGGAAATTAAAAAGTAGCACTAGATAAAAGAAATGCCAAAACACCCAGGAGAGTCCTGAGTAGTACCACACTGAGGTCTAGGAAGGGATTTGCAGAGAACGTCTTTGCCATGTGGAGAAGTGGTGTGGCGAATTGAGAATGCTCCCCTCCCCTCCCCTCCCCTGCATCTCAGAAGCCAGCAGATGCCGTGTGTGCTGGGACAGAGAAGCAAAAATGGTGGCTTGGTAGGTAGACTCTAACACTGACTTCTAACTGCTTCTTTGGTATTTCTAACATCTGGGCTCCCTTTCACTCAAGCAATAAACTGCCTGGGGGCCAGATTAGCTGTGGCATACCTGTGAAAACATACGGCAGATGTCTCCATTTATACTTTATCTACTTTGTTTACTGTGGAAATGGCTGCTTTGATTTTAATTTTTAAAATACTGCATTAAAATTATCTCTTGTAATTGCCATCGTAGAGCCTTCATCCCGTAACTGATGGAAGCAGATGCGGACATCCACAGTTTAAGCACTGGGCCGAGCTCCTGAAATCCAGGCGAAGAGAGGGAGGAGTGATAGTATAAGCAAAGGGGTCAAGACCATGCTGGGGGAACCCACAGAAACAGCTGACATGAGCCAGGGGGAACTCACTGCCTCTGGACTGACAGCTGGGGAACCTGCATTGGACCAGACTAGGCCCCCTGAATGTAGGTGACAGTTGTGTGGCTTGGACAGTTTATGGGGCCACTGGTGGTGGGACCAGGATTTATACCTGGTGCATGAACTGGCTTTTTGGAGCATACCTTGCTCAGCCTAGATATTGGGGGGAGGGGCCTTAATCCTGCCTCAATGTGGTATGACAGACTTTGTTGACTCCCCATGGGAGGTATCACCCTCTCTGAGGAGTGGATGGGGGGGAGGGGGAGAAGATGGGGAGGGAGTTCGAGAATGGGAGGGAGAGGGAATTGGGATTGGTATATAAAATAATAAAAGATTGTTTTAAATAAAAATATTAACAATAACTATGAAAAAATATCTCTTGTAGCCTAGGACAAACTGGCTATGTAACTGAAAACAACCTTGAATTTCTCATCTTGAATTTGTGCTGGGATTGCAGCTGTACACCACCATACCCGGGTTTATTCAGTGCTGCTGATGGAAACAAGGGCTTGTGCATGCTAGGCAAGCATTTCACCACTTGAACCTCATCCCAGCCTCCTACCCACTTCATTTTATGCCTTCTCTGCCTCACCTGATGCTTCCAGTTGCTCCCATTTGGCCTCCCCTTTACATTCCCCCACGATGACCCATCCTTCTACTGTTAAGTGATAACTCACTCCTGGCACCAGGGAGAAACTCAAGAAGGGCTGGGAAGATGGTCTTCCTTGACGAGGCCTTTGGCTAATGTCATCTTGCAGTTTCACAGTTGAGATGAACACAACAATCGAAGCTCATTTATTTTTAAAGGCATCTTTCTTGTACAGAGCAGAGTGGAATGAGAAATGGTGCCCCTGTAGCCAACCATGACTATGCTCTGTGCTCTGCAGCTCCCTGGCTGGATGATGCATTAGGCCCTGAATACTCAAGGGCTTTTTACCATACTAGCTGTGCCAGCCCTGGAGGGGGACAATTGTAATGTGGTAGAAGGGTGTGCCAGCTTCTAAATGCATATGTGACTCTCTGATTCCAGTACCATCTCTGACCCAGAAAAGTATAAAAAGAAAGGAAGCTATGACTTCAACCACTCTGACTAGCAGAGGACAATGGGGTCCCCTGTATCTCAGGTCAACCCTGTGACAATGTGAATTCGCTCATATCCTTGAGCTTGGGTGCTTGCTCTGCCCTGGTTGCAGTAGTGACCAGACCTGATAAGAAACTGCCTGAGTTCTGGCTGCCCTTAGGCTGTCTACAGTATCTACTCTGGCCCCATACTATGATTTGAATATGGAATATCCACCACAGGCTCGTGTGTTTAAACACTTAGTCTCCGGCTTGTGGTGTTGTTTTCCCAAGTTGTGGAACCTCTTAGAATGTGGGGTCTGGCTGTCTAAAATGGATTGCTGGAGAGCCATGAAGATTGTAGTCTAAGTCTGCTTCTTACCTAACCTCTCTCTGACTCCTGGTAGGCTAGGGTAGTATGGGGAGGTTTGGAGGGGGTCCCATCGATACACTCCTGCCTCCATGAATCCCACTATGTCTCCCCTGCTACAATGGAGTATACTCTTTCAAATCATGAGCCAACAGAAATATTTTCTTCCTTCAATTGTTTCAGTAAGCTATTCTGTCTTGCTGAAAGTGTTAACTTTCAGTAATTAATGTATTCCACCCTGGTGGAATTATTTTAATATATTTGTTTTGTTTCAAAACAAAATCTCATGTACCCCCCAAGTCTGCCTGGAACTCACTATGTACCTACAGCTAATCCCAAGCTCCTGCCTCCATCTCCTAAGTACTGAGATTATAGGTGTATTGTGCCAAGCCTGGCTTTATCTTAATACTTCCTTTCTTATTCCCCTTTCCCTTCCCTTCCCTTCCCCCCCTTCTCTCTTGCTGAGACTATCCATGATTGGCTGATTGATTGATTGATTTTTGCAGTACTAGGAACTGAACCAAGAGCCTTGAGCATGGAAGACAAGAGCTCTGCCTCTGAGACATACCTCTTGTGGGGAAAAGAGGAACTCCTCTGAATGTGTAAGAAGCCAATGAAGTCCTGGGTGTGTGTCTGTGTGTGTGTGTGTTGTTGTTGGTGGTGGTGGTGGTGGTGGTGGTGGTATGGCCAAGTCAAGGACCCTAATGCTTTAGACCTATGGCATCAGCAAAGCCTTCCTCTGATGTTGACAGTGTGTGTAAAAACAAGAAACTACAGCCCCCCAACCCCACCCCATGAAACTGTTCCCTTACAGAGACCTCCCACTAATTCCTGACATCTGTATGCCCATTCTTCATCCTATCGTTCCTGGGGCTTCTCAGAAGAAATTTGGTGGGACTTCAGACTACATCACACCAGTCATCTACCTTAGTAGGTGATACCTCCATCGGGATGAGCATAGCTCACCTGATCCCAGCTTTCTCTAGCAATGTCTATCATTTCTTCAGAATCTCTCATTTCTCCCTTCCCTCATTGGCCCATCTAACAAGCCCTTAAGGACACTGCAGCCTCCAGCCCTTCTTTTACTTTGAGATAGTAATCCCTGTGATTACTCCTGGCTCAGATTCCTGAGTAGCTGGGATTCTAGGTCTACACACCAATGAGCCAAGCTTCAGTAAACAGCTTAGGGCACACATGGACACCCAGACCAAATGCTGTTCAGTCACAAGGCCTGTCCCCACAGCCTTACCAGGACCGTGTGCATCCCGGTGTAGAGTCTGCTGAGACACACCAATGTAGAGAACACCACAGCCATTGTCAGGCCCAAAGCAAAAGGGTACTGCAGAGGAGAAGAGAAAATAAGGACATTAGATCATGTTCAGATCAACACCTCTCTCTCTCTCTCTCTCTCTCTCTCTCTGTGTGTGTGTGTGTGTGTGTGTGTGTGTGTGTGTGTGTGTGTGTATTTTATTAGGGATTAAATTTAGAGCTAAGTAGGCATGCTACAACTAGCCCCGTTTTTTTGATATTTTTGCCGTGAGGCAGTCTCTAGGTTACTGGTGGTCTGGCTTGAACTTGTGATTTTCTCTTGTGATCTCTCCTGAGTAGCCAAGACTCTGGTCAGATTAACTGAGTTAATGTCACAGCTGGGAATGGGATTCATTGCACATAATTACTGTCTGAATCTTATTTTCCCTATACCAGCAATCAAATCATCTGAAAACATTTTAAAATCAGGCCAGGTAAGGAGAAAAATGCCTAGAAATGCAGCTCTGGGGGAAAGTTTCCCAACACATAAACAATGTAAATAATATCCAGAAGAACTAGGGTACAGCATTTTACTCTTTATTTTTTAACCATTTAATAAATATGTATTGAATATTGCAATCTGAGTTATCACCTACATCCTGATGACCAACCTTTATGGCCACACAGAATGCTCCTCATACTCCCAGCTCCCTAAGGAGGGCAGCCCAGTGAGGTTCTAATGGAGCCTGCTGCATTACAAAGACACTCTGTTATAACCGGGACATAGACATAAATATACTTTGATTACTAATGTGCTAATCCATAGCAATATGAACAGATACACCAGCATCTGCAGCAGACACAGTACTGGTCCACCGACTCGCTAGGTCTTCACATGACCCTAGGATATAGGTTTCATATCAATCCTGTTGTATAAACAGTGATACTTGATACAGTGGTATGATGGTAAATCATGACCATAGTCAGTCATGACATTTGCTCCTCCCAATAGGAGCCAGATAGATAGATGTGCACCAAATTACACACCCAGTGGCTCAGTCAGAACCAGGAGCCATTGTCTTCTGTTCTTTCCCAGGTGACACTGAGTCTGGTAACACTGGGTTGAAAATATCCTCTTTAAAAAAAAATAAAAAAAATATTTGGCAGTTTCTCTTTAAAGATTTTTCATTGTCTCTGCATACTGGGCTGGGCCTAGACCCACTGTGTCCTGCTGGGCAGTGGAGTATGTGTGAAACCCAGCTCAACTGAAGCAGTTCTGTGGACCCAGAAACTTTGGGTCTTGGCATGGCATTTTAACAAGTTTCAACACAGCAGTCAAACAACTAGTTGGATACATTTCTTATGAATGTCCTTGTCCCATTGAGGAAACAGATCTCTGCCCATGTGACTAGGAAGAAGACTAGAGGTAGAGCTGAGCTCCTACCCAGTCCTGGCCTCTTCCAACCATGCTGGCTGAATGAAGAACCCTGGACTATGGAGCAGCTGGGGCTATCTGGAGTAAAGAGCATGGCGACCCACTGTTGCCATTTAGCTATAAGACCACCAAATTTGATGAAATCTAAAACTTCCAAGAGCTAGTGAGTACAATTTGTGAAATTACTCTCTAAGTTAAAGCAACATGTCTCTATAACAGAAAAAAAATCTTCCTTGCAGCAATCTCATAACTTTGAAAAGATCTTACTATAATTATCATCTAAGCAGATATTAAATGAAATTCTTCTATTTTCAACACTTATTAATCTCTTGTCATGTATATGGTTCTAAAAAAAAAAAAGGCATCATTTCTAATAACTGGTCCCTAACCAGGGGCAGAGTCATCCTTGGAAGGTAATTTGGGGTACCTGACTCTCTTCTGCCCCAGGCCAGGAGAGTCTGGCAGAGGGATTTGGTGGGATCATCTTTGCCCTGGGGAATCATTTATGAGGATCATAAACCCTTTATGTCTGTTGTGCGTCTGTCTAGGCAACAGCTCAGGAAGCAGTTCATGGGGAGATGACAGCAGGCAGCCCACACTATGCTCTCCATTCTGGGCCGGTCCTCACCCAAAGGCATAATCTGATTTGGGTGCTAAATTAGACAGTCCCTTTATGAAGAAATTATCAACATCCCTGTAGGTTCCAGACTCCTTTCATTTTTTACTTCATAAACCTTAATGTCCCTCAAAGCAGCTTTAAGAGAAATTCTGAATGCTCCCCTTTCTCTTCCTCATTCTACAATTAGAGGTGAGTCTGGGAGGAGTGTGAATGGGCCCCACCTTACCTGGTACCTGTCCATGGTAGAGATGAGGAGGGTGAAGGAAATGGCAGTGGCTGCCATGGCGTGCGTGGATGGCATTCCGTATTCTGCAACCACTCTCTTTTCAAGTTTCACAACAGGAGGGGATGAGGGGCGGGGCCACTTCAGGATGTCCTTGGCCACCTGACCAATGTACATCACCAACTGTAAAACCAGAGGTCTGAGATAAATATAACCCAATATGGATATAACCATGCCTCTAAACATGTTATCTGCAGTCCCCTTCTCTCTGTCCCATACTCACTGAGGATGTTTTGTTTTGTAGGGCACTGGTGATCCAGACTCGGGTCTTCATGAGTGTTCAGCAAAGTGCTGTCACCTGTGTCATCCCCTCAGCTTCTTTCCCTTATACTTAACAAACACTTCAGGAGCTTGTGTATGTGTCACATGCCATTTTCTGCCAAGCCGTGCATCTTCAGAATCCACACCTTAAACTACTGTTCGGGGCTACCTCCAGCCCAGGAGTGGTCTGGGTAGGAGTGAGCCTCGTGCTTAAGTCAGACAACAATCGTGTAACCTTTAAATGCTCTCACTGTAGCTGTCTTCTAAACAGACAGTTTTAAGGTTTAACCACAAAAGTAACTGTTCTCATAGAACATTTCACTAAGCATTTTTGTTTCCAAAAGCTGTTGTCACTCCCGGTAGATGTAGGGAAGATGCCAGATATAATTTCATTTAGAGAGCTATAAAATAAATAGTGGGAGAATTCTGAAACTGACAACAATGACAAGTCAACCTGGAATTTGTTCAAAGATTTTTTCCCCCCAACGAGGCCACTGAATGAAGAAATTTCCCTCATTGTTTTAAAACATTTTTTTTATTTTTGGTTTGTTTATTTTATGTATATGAGTGTTTTACTTGCATGTGTTTATCTGTACTATGTGCTTGGTGATTGCACAGTTCAGAAAAGGGCATTAGATTCCCTGGAACTAGAGTTACTGATGGTTGGGAGCGTTCTTGAAGGGGTTGTGAACTGAACTGAACCTGGGTCCTCCTCAGGAGCAGCAAGTGCACTTAACTGCTGAACCATCTAGTCAGCTGCCACACAACCCGGATTTGCTGTTCAAGCTCTCTAAAAATGAATAGATGAGGCTGTCAAAGAGCTTTATGAGACCATCCCATTTTCTACAAAAGAGGAGATGAGAGCAGCATGGCTACCCAAATCCAACCTTTGCAACTCATGGCATGGTAGAGACTGTACCAATGGAAGGGGCCCCTCTCTGCTCCTTTCCTTTCCTCTCTTCCTCCCTCTGTCCCTTCATTCCTTCATTCTTTCCTCCCCCTTTCTCCATCCGTTCTCCCTGAGGTGTTCTGCCTGTCTCCCTCCTTCCCTCTCCTTCCGGCCTTTGCCAGTTCAGGAGCTCAGGACCTCTTTCTGGCAAAAAGACTCTCCTGCACAGGTCAGTGTGTCGATGGCTTTAGTCATGAACCTTCTCATCGTAACTATGGCAATAGTGTCCATGCTGCCAGGGCTGCATTTAGTTTGCGGTAGTTGGAGTCATCTTGCTTTGGAACGGAACTCTTATGAAGCACTATTTTCAAATTATTTGGATTAGACAACCGATTGCCAGGAACTTCCACATTCTGGTGCTTTCTTTCCAAGTGGCAGGTTAATGTGGTGTGGTATCCCCACGGGAGGCACCGTGACTGGGTTAAAACTCAGCAGAGGCCGCGGTTCACAGCAGGCCAAATCCCCAGGCTGTAAAGCCTCAGGGACAATCACTCTGAATTCCATCACCGTGATTTCCAATGGACTTTGAAACATAGCCTCTCATCCATGCCTTATTACCAGAATGAATCTCCTGGAGACTGGCTCTTTTCATGTTCCCACCTTCCTCCTGGGAATCTGTAAAACTACATCTATTGTCTAGGGGGGTGGGGGTGGCAAACACTACCCACTACCCAGAATTTCTCAGAAGCTGCTTAAATATACTCCAGCTCTGTCCCTTCCTCACCCCCAATGTAAACAGAACATCACAGGCATGAAGGACAAGTTCTAGCTCATTCAAAATACTGAAGACTCTCGCAGACGGGAAGCCTTAAAATCATAACATCAAGAGAGATTGGGTAACCAATGCTTGAACCAAATTTAATTTTCTTGAAGTTCACAAATCCCTTTGACTTCATTTCTGTTTTCCTTTCTTTGCTCAAAGGACATTTAAAATTAGGACAATTGTTCACTTAACTTAAAAAACATTGCCACACCTATACATTGTTTCCAATTAAAAAAAAAAAAAACATCCAAGTAAAAATGGCTACAGTAACAGTTCTCTTTAAACAAGAGAAACCGACCTAGAATCTTCATGACCCAGGTGAAAGGACTGGCTCACCGAGTGGAGTTCTGTCTCTGCAGCTGCTACTTATGACAACCTGGTGTCAGCTTGGCCTCAAGTAGGGAAAAGGGTTGTACACAGTCTCACCAAACACCACCACCACCACCAACAACAACAACAACAACAAAACCTTTAACAAAAAGTTATCCACAGAGCTCTGAGTGTACACACTCTAGTTGGGGTCTTATTGGGAATTGATGGAATCTTAGGCTGTGGGGCCTACTGAGAGGAAGTTAGGTCATTCGGTTGTGTTTTTCCTCTTTCTCTTTGCTTTCTGGTGGTCATGAGGTAAGCAGCTTCCTCTACCAGTATGTGCTGCCTCACATACCACAGGACAAACCAACAGGGTTTATAGATTTCAAATTTACAAAACTATAAGTCAGAATAAACCTTTCCTCTTTAAGTTGCTTATCTCAGGTGTTTTGTTACAGTAGCACAAAGCTCACCCCAACAGTACGTGCAGAAAGACACTTGGGTCCAAAGACCCTGGGGCTGAGTATGAAGGGAAATGGCTTCATTCAGACTAGTGAAGGGAAAGAGGTGTCTAGGTTGCAAGGACAGGATTAACAAAGTAGTGGGACTTAGTAGGAGACTAGAATCACTGAATTGAACAAATAAGCCCACTAGCATATATCTACTAGAACCGCTAAGACAAATGAGGCCAGACACATCCAGCAGTGGCAGGGATAAACCATTCTGTAGCTCTTCTTATACACTGAGGAAATCCAAACACACAGCCACTCCGGAAATCTGATAGTCTCTAAAGATGTTAAGTATGTGATCCAGCCACACCACCCTAGACATTTACTCCTGACAAATGACACCAAATGCCACACAAAGGTTTGCATATGAAAGTTCATTGTAGGTATTTTTTTTTAAAATAATAGTCCCAAGCTGGAAACAACTCAAATTCTACCAGAAGGTGAGTGAAATATGGTGTCATCATACAATTGAATGCTACTAAGAAAAAACAAAAACCTGAGCTATTGACATATATTTACAATAGAGATGAAGCTCCAAACAATGCTGCAGAATGAAGCAATAGACAAAGCAAGTGGCACAGTTAACTGCTTCTATTTATATAAAATTGCGAACAATATGACCTGATCTCCATGTCTGATACCAAGGGTACAGCTAGCGTGGGGATCTCAGGAAAGATTGGTGGGAGAGTAATTAAGAAAATATTGCAGAATCCAGGTGAGAGATACCAGAGGAATGAAGGCCAGCGGTGAAGAGAGATTTGAAAAATGGTTTGTGTTGCTTTTCTGTTTAATAATATAAAAATATTGAGTAGATTTATAACTGTCAGGAGAACGACAACTAAGGGAAATCATAACAGCAAGACAGAAGAAAGAAATTGAAGGAGTATGACCCTAGAGCCTGCCAGGTATGTGGAAATGCTTTTCAGGACGAGAATTAGCCACTAGTTCTCAGCATCAGTGGATGGTCTTCAAGTTCACTGGTACCACTAGCATGGAATGGGGATGCTAACTTCATTCTAATAAACAGGACTATACTACTTGGTGATAACTGGTTTTAGGTGATCCTCAAGTTTCCACCAGGTAAAAAGTCTAATGCAGCACCCTAATCTGAAGCCTCGACAATTTGAACATGCACAGGCATTCCAAGGCTATTCCTATTGGTATGAACTGAAGGAATATTGGGCACTGGCTTATTTGAGATTTATAAGGTTTTGTCATTGTTGGGGCAAATGCTGTCGATTGGGTCTGTGTCTTCTGCCTGACACTTCTGTGCACCAGGAACTGCACTGGGCATACTCAGGATGCCCTAAGCAGAAGAGCAGGTTCAGAGGCTCGTCCACTTCCTGAAGTATTCTCCTGTAGACATGCCCAAGCAATGATGGAGTTTAAAGGATTCAAGGCACACTAAGCTTAAAAGAACACATGTGTAGTAGGCTTTGTCACCCAATACATCTACACCATGCAGTTAGAATCTGAAGTTACTGTGCTGTTTAGACAGCTAGACCTGAAAGACAAGCACACTGTATGATGCTATTCATATAAATGTCCAGAATAGGTAAGTGCAGAGACAGAAAGTAGATTAGTGGTCACCTAGAGTCTGGAGGCCACATGTCTGAAATCAGAAGTCATCTGATCCATGCTCACTCTGAAGCTCTTGGGGAGAGTCCCTTATTTGCCTCTTCCAGCTTCTGGTAGCTGTGAGAATTTCTTGATGAGTGGCCATCTCATTACAGTCTCTGAGTCTGGTGTAACATTGCTTCCTCCTCTTCCATCAGTTTCAACCTGTCTTTCCCTTCTGCCCTTCTGAGGACATCTGTTGGACTGGCCCAACCCGAGGATCTAAGATGAACATTCCAAGATCCTCTACTTCCTTAAGTCAATCAGAACCCTCTTCCCTAAAAGATAATACTCATGTGTTCTGGGGTTTAGGATTTGGACTTGTGTTTTGGGAGGTCAGTCTTCAACCCACTATATTCAGTAAGCAGTTGGTGAATTACTAAGAAAAAGGCACTATACTGGTTTGAGAAATAATATGCAGAACAATATAGAAAAGGTCTGTTTCCACAGAGCAACTGAACTCATGTGGCCCAAAGGATATTTGGCTTCACTGCATTTTATCAGTGTAATACAAAGCATTATGCTTTACAAAAATAGAATGCCGAGGCTCTGGCTCCATGGTTGAGAGTTTGCCTGTCATGTTCCATGGGTTTGGTTCCCAGCACTGAATAAACAGATGGAGGTGGTGTATTTGGCAGAATTGACCTGGGGGGGGGTGGGGAGTTGAATCTGAGGCTTCAAATGTTCAACATCATATGCCATTGATTATATA